CATCTCCCTTTGTCTCCTTTCATCCTACCCTTGTTCCTTTTGATTCCGGACCCCTCCTTATATACAATGTACCCAGTAACTCATAACCTCAGTCCGAAATCAACCTGAATTCCCCCAAGAGACTTTCCCTCTGCTAGATCCGAAATTAGGGACCCCCAGGACAACCAGCAATGGCACAGCGCTCTGCTTGAGTCACTGAGGCCAAGGTCCTTCCACGCTAAGTCTCCAATTCCACTCTGGAGTCGTCTGAATCCACCCGTTCTAACAGACATCAAAAGTCCGAGCTCAGGGAAAAGATGATGTTTACAAAGGATCCATAATTAAAACATACAACGAAATTTACACAGAAATTATGAAAAATAGGGAACTATAGTTATGCAAATTTTCAGCCCAAATGGTCCAGCTGTTGTGAAGTTATACCCATGACAGGAATATAGAAATCCGCATCATGTTTAATGACACGTGAGGGTGGCAATGCGAAGGGAGCTGGCCGTCGGAACCAAGATCCGCACTTCGGCAGATTGCAAAGATGTCAGGGACTCATCTGGGGTCGAGGGGGTCCGGGTGTAACGTCCGGGACCGAGAGCCTGGCAGGGGGCGGATCGGGCGTGCGTACTGACAGGCCCAATGCAAGACAGTAGTCCCTGGCCACTTAGACTGAAGTGGAAAGTTGAGAAGAAGGCTACTTCTTCGGTTCCCACTTCAGGTTTGTTTATATACATGCGGATTGGATCACATGACGGTTGCCACGTCACCCTCGCACACAGCCGTAACCACCCGGGTGTCTCTGTGGGAGATCCCGAGGGCATCCGGTGCAGGTGCGTGTGCTGGGCACAGCGGGAAGTCGCCTGAGGTGCCCGGGCCGGGTACATGGTGGGCACACTGCAGATGGGTCAATGGTACATTGATACAGAGAAAGTTGTCCATGTAGAATAAAGGGAGAATAAAGAAGGAGTAAGATAAGGAGAAACTGAGGAGGGGAGGATGAGGGGGGAAGAAGGGAAAGGGGGAGGAGGTAAGGAAGGGTGGACTGGCGGGGTACCGGGTCAGGTTGGGCCAGGTGGAGCCGGGTCAAGCAAGTGTGCCCTGACAGAAGACCAATTTCCATCCAAATAAGGAAGAGCCCGGTCAAAACAAAGCACAGAAAGTGCAAAACAACCTTAGATCATGAGGGAAAAATCTGAAATAAATCACAGAAGCCCATATAAAGGATATAAACACCCGCGCATACCATAAATCCCAAACAATTAAACAGAAACAGCATCCGCATACGAACGACTATGGGAACGACACTGTCATATCTGTGCATACCCGATCCCGACCCGACTTCCGGACCTCCTCCTTCCCCACCTCCGGAGTCCTACCCTACTGCTGTCCATTCCGATACTCACCTTCGGTCCTGGCAACACACCTCCTTGTACCTCCCATGCCACCTCCACTCCTCCTTCCCTCTCCTCTCCTATCTCCGTCTGCTCCAATGCTCACCTCGGACTGAACACTGCCCCTCTTGCCACCCTCCTACTACTCCTCCTCCTACTCCTCCGCTCCTCCCTCACAACACCTCCACCCTTCTGTCATCCTCCTACACTTCTCCCATCCGCTCCGATACTCACCTTCGGACCTGACAACTCCCCTTTCCACCACTCCTTCCCTCTTCCCTTCCTCCTCTCTCCTCCCTCTGGTACTCTTCTGCCAACCTCCTGCCAAGTTACGACCTTCTGTCATATCCATCCCTGGCCATCGACTTCCATTCCCTCCAATCCCTCTGGCCTACCTCTGCTCCTTCCTCACTAACCTCGGAGCTCCCATATTCCGCAATCCTCTCGGTACCCCTCGATGGTCACCACCCCCTCCTTTCAATTTATTACCTACACCTCCCTAAGTACGGAGCCCCGAAGACTTCCGGACAGCTCCGACGTCCGCTAGTGCACTCCCACCTCCACTGGGCAATACACTCACCTGTCCTGCAGAGCCCACCTTTGGGCCTATCCCCCCTTTCCATTTCTGGGTTATTGCCTGCCTCTCTGCTAACCCCGTTAGCTCCGCTCCGTTCGGCTCTGCCAATTGCAGACCCGTCTTCACTGTAACCATATATATATCCAACTTGTACATAGGTTACACTCCAGTAATAAAATCAACTAGAGTTATCCCCTTTCAGTTCTGATTGCCAGTCAGTAAGTTAGGGCACAGACGTGTCACTAGGCACAGCGCTCTTGGCATAAGTCGCTAGGCCGAAGCCCTCCATCACGGAGACTCTCCCTCGTCTCGAACCTGGTCTCTGACACTTTCCACCGCTGTCCTGTACTTCGTACTCAGGCACCGCTCGTACCTTGCTCCGAGCCTCCATCATAGTCCCTACCTCGGACTTTGACTCCACCTCAGTCTTAGTCCATTGCATTGGTGACCTCATACTACGTAAACACCATTGCCAATATTCCTTGGACTTTCGACCCCACCTCCATAAGCTCTGCAACCTCCAAGCTTTGTGGATCATCTTTGGCACTTTGCCACTTGTAATGTATCTCTCGCATTTTCCCCTCATCCCTATTTGGACTGCTGCTTCTTCCCATTCTATCCAGTTAGTCATCATCCCCACTTCCCCCCATCCTCCTGCCCCTCTGGGCCTCGCCCTCCTTACCTCCTTTTGGACGTATCACAGGTTCTGCCTTATGACCTTCGGTACCGCTCCGCTTCTGTCATCCCTTTGTTCCTGTTCGGACGCCTTCGTTCCGATTCAGATCCCCTTTGTTTCCTTGTGCTTTTGCCCCCTCCATTATATATATCGGCACTTGTACATACTCATTTTGGCCTCAGTCTGAAATCGACCTGAAATGCCCCCTAGAGACTTCCTGCTTGCCTACTGTGAAATTAAGGACCAAATGGACAAACAGCAATGGCACAGCACTCCGCTTGAGTTGCTGAGGCCAAGGTCCTTCCACACTAAGTCTCCGATTCCACTCCGGAGTCGTCTGAATCTGCACCTCATCTCTCTAACAGACGCATGTGATTACCGAATGTGCGCGCAAACTTTTGCTAACTCGACAAATACCAAAAAATAGAACACAACTTTAGTACCATTGGAAAGGTGGGAATAAATGAAAATTTATGATACTAAGAACATGAGAAACCATCCAGAAATGAATGAGATACAAGAGTTAGAAACCTGATAACACATGGGAAGACAGCTTCAAGAGGTCCAGAGCCCTAAATAAAATACATAAAAATATGATATCTTCGAGGACGACCTACTATAACAACGAACAATACATATGGAGGATTAGGATGTGATAATACAAAGGGGAATCAGGGAAGATGAACGAAATCCATGAAAACCACTAAACTACAATGGACCATGGTGGGAATTTTAGGGAACGATATTCTAATGAAGTGGAGAGCTATAATACATTTGTTTGAGTAATTCTTGACTACTAGCAACTTTTTCTTTCGGTTTTAAACCTGAATAATTCACTCATTTACCATTTCAAGTCTCATTTTAACTAAATGTTGCTGAATAAAAATGGAATAAATCAGCTGAAGGTCTCAGGGCAGCCATACGCATAGCTATTAATGCGAAGTTTGAATTCAGAATCACCGAGTCATAGCAAATTTAATGGTAAATATGAGGAATTTGAAATAGGAAACTGTTGCAAATGCAGTGCAGTCAAGTTCTAATTAACCAGTAAAATAGCTTAGGCAAGGAAGGACAATAAGGATTCTAGGTGCAGTCTGACCGCAGTAGAGCCACAGTTCAGCGCAGCAAAGCGCAGTAGAACTATAGTGTGAAAATTTCATTTTTTATTCAGTTTGAGAAAAATACACTGTAAATAAATCCTGTAAATACGAGGTAGAGCGTGCAAAAGGAAGGCGACCCAAGGAGTATAAAAGGGAGACCCTTTCTGCGACTTTTCACCTCCCTTAGAGAAGCACAGCACAATGAGCTAAATATAAGACTGGAATAATGCGCGTAGAAGTGCAAATATGACACGAAAATAACACACTTTAGAGAGAAGTAATTGTGAGATAGAAAAGACAATATGACCATGTTATAACTCGTGTTAAATGCCCATGTATGTATATAATACACATTAAATGAAAGTGCTCAATGTTACATATTTTCTGGTGGGCATTTGTAATTATCCAAATTTGGTCATATTGAGCATTCCCCAAACTTCATGTTACAGCGAGTTCCCTAACTAAACCACTGAGCCCTACTAAATGTCCTTTAGAAGCTTCACACCAGCGCTCAAGTCGAGACCATCTCATCCTCCACCTAGTTCACACTATAGCCATGCCAATGAGCGAAGTCTCTCAGCTCAGCATGATGACAAGGAATCAGAAATACATGGACCAGATGATACTAGTAGAAGCGTACGTAGATGCCCAATATCCCCGAAAATGAATGATTTCACCCAGTGAGCTGCATTACAGCATCAAAGAAAAAACATCCACCCACCTAGAAGGGTTGCATCCTCCCCGGTATTCCGTAACCCATTCCTTACCCAGCCAGCATCCACAAGTACACGCAGTGGTACTCAGCCTCATCACCACATGAATACAAAACCAATACCCAACGAATTGATCAATCCCCACCTTCTTGAACAGTCATCTGCCTGCAACATTGGGGCAACTATTAAAAAACTTGTTTACCGAAGTCTCTGGCCTTCAGACTACTGTCAGCCGGCTTACCTCCGAAGTAAGGGAGCTTGTGAAAATGAATGGTCAACTAGAACAGGAATGGTCAGGAAAACACGAAGCATTGTTAGAAGAAGTGGCAGAGCTCCGTGGAGAGATACTTAAGATAAAGTCAACTCCTGACAGCAGGCCAAAGCAGCCTGCCAAAACTGGTCGCTTAACGGAACTTGATGTGAGTATGAAGAAATGTTGCATTGACTCAAATACACAGACAACCCTTCCCTAGAAAGCCATCCATTGCTGCTTTGATCATGCACAAGGTGTGAAAAATGGGGACTACCATCCTGCCGAAGATGATGGTGCCTTGTTTATACAAGAACTGACATCTGATGGCCAAATTGTGCACATTGAAAAAGTGCCCTTTGGCCCTGAAGAAATTCGCTGACTGCTGCATGAGTAGCACCATGATAAGAAGACATGATAAATGCACAGATGTAAGCATTCCGGATAGGAGGCAACTCTTGAAAGGCAGAAGGAAGAGTTTCTAGCTCACTGAGGGCATCAGGTTGAGACTTTTGGCCTTCTAGCCATTTGAAGATAGCGTCTGATTGCTGAAATAAAGGGTCTTCGCTTATATCAAGTGGTGCAATATTGTCATAGTAATCCTGATCAGAGCCCACAGCTCCATCGCTGTCCAAAGTTTCATCTGCTATATCAAGTCCAAGTTGGATACTCACAGGTGACCCAGAACCACTGGTCGACAGAGAGGATGAGTCCGACAGCTCTGGGTCAGAGAAGCATGGTTGACAAGATTTGTTCGGTGATGGCAGTTCAAAGTTCATAGCACTATCACCATAGTTATCCAATGAAGAAAGGATGAAGCCCTTTTGTCCTCGAGACTGAATATTTGCTGCCAAGAAATCTTCCGTGTGGGGACTAGAGGGGGGTGCAGGTGTCACAGTAGCCACAGGATGAGACGCATCATTCAACATTTCCTTTATCATATGGGCCTTTATCACTGAGGGGGTCTGAAAGAGGGGCCCATATTCAGAACCATGACACATGTTACATGGACACAGTTGGCGCTATCAAGTGGTGCCAGTGTGTGTCAGGGATGCGTCTGGGGTGGAGGGGGCCTGGCTGCAGTGCCTGGCAGAGGGACCCTCTCGGGGGACGAAGCGGGCGTGCGTACTGATGGGCCCGATCTGGGACGGTAGTCCCTGGCCACCTAGACTGAAGTGGAAAACATGAATTGTTATTAAAAGGAAGAACTACACTACTTACCTGAAGTGGAAAACGTGAGAAGAAGGTTACTTCTTCAGTTCCCACTTCAGGTACATTTATGTACATGCGGCTTGGGTCACATGACGAGTGCCACATCACCTACGGAGAGAGCTGCAGCCATCCGGGTATCCCTGCGGGGGATCCCAAGGGCATCCGCTGCAGGTGCATGTGCTGGGCATAGCAGGAAGTCGTCTGGGGTGTCTGAGCCAGACAGGTCAACAGTACAATGATACAAGGGAAGGTGGTCTGTGTAAATAGAAAGAATAAACAGAAAGGAAGAATGAAATAAAGGAGAAAGAGAAAAGAGGGAAAAGGGAGGAAAGGGAGGAAGGGGAAGAGGGAGGAAGGAGGGAGGAGGAAGGATGGGTAGCAGGGAGCGGGTGAGCAGGTGAGCAGGTGAGGTGGGCCTGGGTGGGCCCAGGTGGAACCGGGTCAGGCAGGTGTGCCCTGACAGTGTGCATGTATGTTGGGGAATGCGTTCAAGTTGCATTGTGCAGGCCGAAGGAACTGGTTAGTCTGAGCATTTGCCGGTAGTCTGAGAGGACATACACATCGTCCACCCATGATTCACTGGGTGCTTCTTTGGTTTCCGGAGTGCAAATGGTGTCAACAAGTGCACGCCTAGGATGCCATGAAGGTGCAAGAAATGTTGCGATTGGCATGCAAAACGTTGCGATTGCTTGATCAGATGCCTATTGCAAGATTAAGAAAGGAGCCGTTTGATGGGATGGCTTCAGATCAAGGCAGGTGGCCGAAGGTGGAACAAGCTCATATTATTCAGATCAATCACAGTGCCAGCGCTCCAGCAGAATTTTGCTAAGTCAACAGAGCAAATTACATCTCGTTATATTCCAAATAAACACTACAATTAATATTTGCTAATGTGACACAGATTTAACTTGTGTTATATCCCATTTTCCACCAATAACATGCTTCAACCAGGAGCTATATTTTAGCCCTTTTGTGGTGAAGTAAGAAAATAGAGTATTATTTTTCTCAAGCATTTCTGGTTGTCACTCCAGCACAAAAAAGTGATATACAGTTAAGATTGCCTCTGTAGTAAAAGGCAGCAATTAAGGAGAGAAATATTAAGTAGATATTTCAACAGGAGAGCTGGTTAACACTCCAGACACAATCCAAATCCATTAACTGAGTAGAATCTTTGAAACTTCACCAAGTAGAAGATTTAATTCAAGTTAAATTCCAAATTGAACAACTCTACACAGAATTACACCTAGACAAATTAAGAAATTTCAATAAAGGAACAGCTCCGCAGGGCTCGGTTTATCTGTAAGTCAGTTCCCAGAAACTTTAAGACTAACCCATAAAAATAGAATTAGCCAAAACACTCGGATTGGTACTATATTTACAACAAATACTACTAGTACACTTCCCCATCCTAAAACCAGGGAACAGCTTGGTGGTGGTCTCTGTCATGACCGACAAATCCCAGGGCTCCGTCAGTGGTGAACCACAGTCCCTCTTTTGATTTCTCTTATCTACTTATACCTTGTAAATACTTTTGGGGACCTCAGTCTGAAATCAACTAGAGTACCCCCCCTGTCTGGTCTGAGTCTCTCCTTCTGCAAAGGGGGCTTCCCCCCCTCTGAGTCCGTGTCAGGGCACACCCACCCGACCCCGCACCCCGTGCCGCACTACCCTACTCCGCTCCCCCGATATCACCCCCCGAGTCTCTTTCCTCACTTTCCCCCTTTCTCTCTCTTTTTATTCTACGGCCGATTTCCCTTTTCTCTATGTACCACTACATACCTAACCCCTTTCCCCCGATCGCTGCACGCGCCGCGCACACTCCTGCCTATCGAGCGGCCACCTCCGGGATCTCCCGCGGAGACACCCGGGGAGGTGCGGCTGTGCGCGGAGATGACGTGGCCTCCTCCACGTGACCCTGACCGCATGTATATAATAGCGCCTGGGGTGGGAACAGAAGAAGCAGCCTTCTTCTCAACTTCCCACTTCAGGTAAGTACCATAGCTTCTTCCTTTTAATGATAAACCAACTTCCCACTTCAGACCAAGTGGTCGGGGACGCTCACCCCGCGACGGGACCGCCGCTACGCATAGCTGACATCTGTCCCATCGAGTCCCTCGCGCCGGGGCCTTGCCGCTTTCGGAGCTGTCCCTGACAGTCCATGCTCGCAGAGTCCGTGCTCCTCCTACAGGTCCGCTCCACCCGCAAGTCTTGTTTGAAGTCTGCTGTAAGTGTCAGTTTGTAAATACGGGATCTCCCCCAAACGTCAAGCTCAGGGCACAGCGCTCCACCTGAGTCGCTGAGGCCGTGATCCCACTCTGCTAACCTTGAACAGCGCTTCCGGATGCACCCCATATTTCCGCCCGCATATCCGTGCATGCGCTCCAATAGACCTCTGCATCACCTCCGACCTCAACTCAGACAGAACCCAATCCATCTTCTATCTGTCTTCTGACAGCATTCCAGATCTCTGACAGTCTCGTTTGAACCTCCCAACTGACCTTCCTTCATTCTCTCCTTCATTGTGATCTGCCAAAGTGTGGATCTGTCAGAGATCTGGAATGCTGTCAGAGACTGGAATATTTGTTGGAGTCAGACAAACTGTCAGAAGGCAGATTGGGTTCTGTCTGAGTTGGGGTCGGAGATTGTGGCAGAGGTCTGTTGGAGCACGCATGCGGATATGCGGGCGGAAATGTGCGGCGCGTCCGGAAGTGCTGTTCAAGGTTAGCAGAGTGGGATCACGGCCTCAGCGACTCAGGTGGAGCGCTGTGCCCTGAGCTTGATGTTTGGGGGAGATCCCGTATTTACGGATTGACACTCACAGCGGACTTCAAACAAGACTTGCAGGCGGAGCGGACCTGTAGGAGGAGCACAGACTCCGCAAGCACGGACTCAGAGGGGGGGAAGCCCCCTTTGCAGAAGGAGAGGCTCAGACCAGACAGGGGGGGTACTCTAGTTGATTTCAGACTGAGGTCCCCAAAAGTATTTACAAGGTATAAGTAGATAAGAGAAATCAAAAGAGGGACCGGTCAGTCCGGTGCAGAAATAAGCGGAAATGAGCAGGGACTTGTCAAACTAAACCAAGGACAAGAACCTGGGAAATGGGAGGCAATGAATGAATAAAGTCAAAGTGGATCAAGTACCAATATTGACAGATTAAATGAATGAATAGGAAAGTGCAATAGCACACGGATCAAATGCGAATATTGGGGTGAACATAATAGGCACTCGGCAGGGAATGAATGTTATGTTGCCGAGTGACAAAAATGGCCAGAGGACAAAAGCGGAGGTCAGCATGCGGCACCGATACAAGTCCGCAAATAAGCGGGGTCGGTGCGGTGCTGACACAAGTCCGCAAACAGAGGTTGATCTGCCAGCACTGTCACACAAGGACAGCATGAAGGTCAACAGAGGTACAGAGGGGAGTGGGAGTGTTGACCTGACCAGAGGTGTCAAGGGCAACCAGAAGTGGCCAGAGGGTGCAGAGATGGGCAGAGGGTGTGGAATGCATGGAAGTTGGGCATGGCTGTGACCACATAGCGGGAAGCGATGAGTGTGGTTCAGATGGAGACAAGGCAGGCATGACTGAATGCCGGGAGTGCCAAGGGCTCAGGAACTGGAGGTAAGGTCGGAAGACCGGCAGGGTCTAGGTTCTGATCATTGGCCAAGTCTCATGCAGTAAGGCAGGGGGCCAGACATGGGGTTGGGGGCTGGTTAGGATGGGTTTCGGGTTGGCGGATTTGCCTATCAGCATTGGTTCGCCGCTGATGGAGCCCCGGGATTTGTCAGTCATGACAGATCTCAGTTTCAACGGCTGGTTCCCTTTGCATTGCCACCCTCACATGTCTTTAAACATGATGCGGATTTCTATATTCCCGTCGTTGGTATAACTTCACAATGGCTGGACTGTTTGGGCTGAAAGTTTGCATAACTATAGTTTCCCATTTTTTATAATTTCAGTGTAAACTTCGTTGTATGTTTTAAATATGGATCCTATGTAAACATCATCTTTTCCCTGAGCCCGGACTTTTGATGTCTGTTAGAACTGGGTGGATTCGGACAACTCCGGAGTGGAATCGGAGAGTTAGCATGGAAGGACCTTGGCCTCAGCGACTCAGGCAGAGCGCTGTGCCATTGCTGGTTGTCCTGGGGGTCCCTAATTTCAGATCTAGCAGAGGGAAAGTCTCTTGGGGGGAATTCAGGTCGATTTTGGACTGAGGTTACAAGTGGGTCCGGAATCAAAAGGAGCGAGGGTACTCCGAAAGGAGACAAAGGGAGCTGGAAAGAGGAACAACACCGAGGGTCAAGGGTTTGACTCAATGGTGTTTCCCAAAGGAGGAGTGAAGGGCCAAGGCCCAAGGAGGAAGGAGGTTGGGAGTGGGGAATGGCTAGCTGACTGAATAGAAAGGAAGCAGCAGCCCAAATAGGAGTGAGGGAGAATAGCGGAATTGAATAGGACAATGCAATAGTTGCAAGGTCCGACGTAAGTCCGGAAAGTCCGAACTTGGAAGTTAAACTCCGGAATATTGGCAAACATAATTAAATGGAATGAGCTAACCAATACAATGGGTATAAGCGGAGGTGGGGTCAAAGTCCGAGGTCGGAGCTAAGACCGGAGGTTCCGGAGACGGAGAGAATGGGATTCCGGAGCAGAGGTCCGGAGTCGGGAGCATAGGTTTTGCGTACTCGTCTGGAAGGTGTCGAGGTGGTCGGACCCGGAATGTTCTGGAGTCGGACCGAAGGTGGTGTCCGAGCCGGAGGTGGGATAACCTCTTGGGAGTCGGCAAGGAGA